AAAGACAGAAAGAAAGACAGAATGAAAGAAAGAATGAAAGAAAGAAAAACAGACAGAATGAAAGAAAGAAAGACAGAAAGAAAGAAAGACAGAATGAATGAAAGAATGAATGAATGAAAGAAAGAAAGACAGACAGAATGAAAGACAGAAAGAAAGACAGAATGAAAGAAAGAAAGACAGACAGAATGAATGAAAGAAAGAAAGAAAGAAAGACAGACAGAATGAAAGAAAGAAAGACAGAAAGAAAGAAAGACAAAATGAAAGAAAGACAGAATGAAAGAAAGAGAGAATGAAAGAAAGAGAGAATGAAAGAAAGACAGAAAGAAAGACAGACAGACAGAATGAAAGACAGAATGAAAGAAAGAAAGACAGACAGACAGAATGAATGAATGAAAGAATGAATGAATAAAAGAAAGACAGAATGAAAGAAAGAAAGAAAGACAGAATGAAAGAAAGACAGACAGAATGAAAGACAGAATGAAAGAAAGAAAGACAAACAGAAAAACACAGAAAGAAAGAATGAAAGAAAGAAAGAAAAAGACAGAATGAAAGAAAGAAAGACAGACAGAAAAAGAGAAAGAGACAGAATGAAAGACAGAATGAAAGAGAAAAAGAATGAAAGAAAGACAGAATGAAAGAAAGAATGAATGAAAGACATAAAAAGAGAAACAAAGAGAAAGAAAGAAAGAAAGACAGAATGAAAGAAAGAAAGACAGAAAAAGAGAAACAAAGGGAAAGAAAGAAAGAAAGACAGAATGAAAGAAAGAATGAAAGAGAGAAAGGGAGGGAGGCAGCCTACAGTAACACATAGACTGGAATAAAAATGGTACAGATCTTTCTATACTAATAGTAATGATATATAGACTAATGGTAATGATAGGAAATAAGTTAAAGCCAGAAAGAAATCCAATCGTTTTCTGAACTGAACTTCCCAGTTTCCACCAGCAAAACCAGCCAGGAGATCCTCCATTAAGGGATCCATCTGCTTACAATTCAGAACCAGAACCAGAACCAGGACCAGGACCACATCAGACCAGTTCAGAACCAGGAACTAGACCACATCAGACCAGTTCAGAACCAGGAACTAGAAACAGGACCACATTAGACCAGTTCAGAACCAGGA